TGTTATGAGCAGAGGAGTGTAGTACTCTTCTTGTGAAATACTTCTGGACTTGCTCCATTGCATTAATGTCTGATATACAGTGCAGATTCCAGACTGATGACCTGTATTTGAATATTGGTCTAACAAAAGTTTTGTATGATCTAATTTTACGTCATCCGCAAAGAGGATGCAGTTGCTTATAAGGTGATTGCAAATGTCATTTATATGGAGTATAAAGAGTGTGGGTTCTAGAATGCTGCCTTGGGGGACACAGCTGTTAATTGGAGCAGGGTTTGATATAGTGCTCCCTATTTTTACTATCGGTTGCCTGTTTGACAGGAATGCAGTAATCCACTTATGAAAGGATCTGGAAATGTCATAAGAGTTTAGTTTTAATAGTAATTTGTCATGTACGACTGAATCAAAGGCTTTGCAGAAGTTTATGTAAATTGTGTCTATAGCTGTACCCTGGTCAAGTAGAGTAATCCCTATGTTTTTGCAGTGTAGGAGTTGTAGATTGCAGGATATTTTTTTCCTGAAATCAAATTGGTTTTTGGGGAGTAGGTTGTTTGACTCCAAGTGGAGGGGGATGAAATAATTAATGATTGATTCCATGACTTTGCATATGACACAACACAGTGAGATTAGTCTATAGTCAGGCCGGGGTCACCTTTTCTGAAGATAGGGATGACCGTAGCTAAGGACCATAGGTTTGGTAAGGAGCTGGTTCTGAATGATATCTCATATGTAATGCTTAGGGGTTTTGCTATGGCAGAGGAGAGCTTTTAAAGAAGTATGCACATAATCCATTGGGGCCAATAGATAGGGATGGTTTTAGGTTATGTAGTGCCTTTTCTATGTTATTTTCTGTAAAGTCAATATGTAGTAAATCAGTACAGTTAGTTGTGGTATGACACAGAAATGTGGGGCATGAGCCATTGCTGTTTACAAAGACTGAACTGAATAATGTGTTGAAGAGGTTGGCCTTAATGGCTTCATTGCTACTGTCTTTCCCATTTGGTCCTTTTAGGGGTGGAATGGTTCTTGAGTCTTTAAGTTTGGTGTTACAAAGTTGTAGAAGGCATGGGTGGATTTTGTACATAGGAGGTTTTATTTTTGCTTGTAGTGGTAATTTGTGAAATCTGCCATTATCTGTCAGCATAAAGTGTTGTATTGGTTTTTAAAGTTTGCTACATGGCTAGATTTTTTTTTTTAATGCCACAGCAATCTTTTCTTTTTTTAATTGAAGTTTCCTTATTGTTATGGATAATTTGGATTTTTGTTTTTTGTTTTTGGGAGTTACTAATGGTATATAGAGTTATTGACTCTTTCAATTTCAAACAAGAACGCATTCTAATGGTCTTCTGTAGTATTATCGCTAGAGAACAGAATGTGCCAATCAAGAGATGATAGGTTGGCATCTATGAGATCATAGTTGGCTTTTTTGAAGTTGTATTTTGGGGATACATCATTTTGATACTCTTTGTGAGGGCGTAAATTGAAACAAAATTTGATCATACTGTGATCACTGTTTGAAAAGGGTTCTTGTATTTGTAGGCCATATATTGACTTTGAGCTGTTGCAGAAGATAAGGTTGAGGCAGTTATTGAATCTAGTGTTGTTAGTTGCTAATTGATACAGTCCCAGTGTAGTAACAGCATTGTACAGGGTTCCATGTATGGGTTTGGATGTACATTCATTTAGTGTCCAATTTATAAGAGATAGATTGAAGTCCCCAAGGAAAATAAGAGGGTGAGGGCAAGAGGCAGCTCACATTAACAGTAAAGTTAGCTTGTTTGCATGAACTATGTCATAATCAGGAGGTCTGTAGCATAGTAAGCGGATTGTCATATTTGAGGACAGTTCACAGATGACGGTCTCTGGAAGAGCAAGTTCCTGTGTAATTTGTATCTTTTTTATATTTAGGGAATTTTTGTAGAAGATAGCAACTCCACCTCCTATACGGATTTTGTGATCTGACTGATAAATGTGATATTCTCCAACTGTAGTAATAGGATCTGGAAAAGACGCATTTAACCACATCTCATAAACAAATATAATGTTGAATGTGGTCATGCCTAATAAGATGAGGAATTCAAGCATTTTGTTTGTGAGGCTTCTTGCATTGAGTAGTTTGCATTTTAGATATGTAGTAGTGGGTCTGGAGGAAGTAAGGGGCATGCCTAATGTTGGATGTCGGGGTGATGGTTATTGAGGTGTAAGTTGAAGTTCTTGCTTTTGATACATTTTGTGTGGTAGTCAATGTATAGGTGATTTCCATGTTCATGGAGTCTTTTGAGCTCAGAGCATAGTTCACGGGATCGTACATGTTGCTGTAACATTAGGTCACGGTGAGAATGGAGGTTCTTATGGTTCGTGCTGCTCTTGGCAAGTGAATTTATAGTGTAAATGAATTTTTATTTGCTTGATTCATTTTTGCAAATGACTCTGTAGAAGCATGGGCCATTGAGCTGTCACTGTTTTTGAACTCTAGGCCAATGCGGGAAATGTTGAGTATTTTATCATTGGAGATGGTTGATGCTTGATAGTTACTGATGATGTTGCAGACATTTGTGATGTCATCATTGACATTGTGACTCTGGACCTAAAAAGATGGCGTTGGGACACTTCTGTTCACACTCGAAAGCTTCTTTGGTAAGGATTGGGATATTGTTATTTGTTGGATTTGTGGTTTTTTTGTGGATTGGATTGTGTTTGTTGGGTAGACATGTGGTTTGTAGATATTGGATGTTCATTTTTTATGTTGTGTCTTTTTTTTCAAGGTTAGTCCATCTTTTATAGTGTCCAGGGATGCTACTATGTTGTCAAGGGATGTTATTCGTGTTTCTATGGTATCAACTCTTTCAAACAGAGAAATATATTTGTGGGTAGAAGTTTTAACTGGATTGGAAATACAGTTAGCTATTTTTAAAAAAAAAGAATTCAGAAGGACAAGAGGACGAGGATTTATAAGGTGACTTGAAATAATGAAGTAATTATGTTGAAATGGCTCACTATATTTTATTAAAGAGGAAGCCTGAGATTAGAGAAGCCCTGCTGCCTTACTGGAGACAGGAAGTTAGAAGGGAGGGTGAGCCAAACTGCTTTATTTTTTGCCAGTTTGTTCTCTAATGTAGCACATAATGAGCAAAAGTGAATAAATACTCATAAAAATTAAAGCCTCCAGAAGTAGGGAATAAAACATCCAGGAAAAGATTGTATATTTTTTCCGCTCCAAGGAGGTAGCAATTGTTGAGGAATATTTCCTAATTCAATATGGAGAGGTACTTCTTCCAGTTTTGAAAATACAACTTTTTAGGAAATTAGGAACCAACAGCCATTCATATTATACACACACACCAACATAAAAACGTACATATATTATAGTCACTGATGATAGATAGATAGATAGATAGATAGATAGATAGATAGATAGATAGATAGATAGATAGATAGATAGATATGGATACGGATACGGATACGGATACGGATATGGATATGGATATGGATAGTATGGTATTCAGCTTTGTTCTGGTATTTTCCCACGTCATTATAGTTGTGCTTTTAAAGTTGTAGCAATGTTTCGTCAGAATCTCATCTGCCATCATCAGGCTTCTGTATTGTGTTCGTCTCACAGATGAACACAATACAGAAGCCTGATGATGGTATATAAAATCAGAATTTTCAAAGTCTACTAAAGCAGTTCTCCAGCACAGTTTAGATGAAGTTTGACTGAGTGTCTTTCTAAAACTCCCTCATCCCCTGGATTAAGGATTTCTTTTCTGTAACAGTCCCATTCTTTCCAATGTGTTCCCTAGGTCTCTTAAACATTTCAACACAAATATGTAGAGTCTGTAGGTTTGAGCAACATATAAGCTGTTGTATTAAGTTACTAATTAAATACATGCATACACAGACACAAACATATATACATACATATATACATACCACACAATGAACACATAAACTTTGCTTAATTGCTTTTTCTTAACTGCTGCTTGTTGTTTAATTTAGGTCTCAACAGAATAATGTAGCATTTGGGGAAAAAGATACAAGATAGCAATCCACCACTGGATGCTAGGATGGAGAAGATCTCCACAGCCACCATATACTTCCCCTTTGTGCTCAGATAGGTAGGGACAAAAGTCAACCAAACACTACAAAACATCAGCATGCTGAAGGTGATAAACTTGGCTTCATTGAAAGCATCTGGCAACTTTCTGGCAAAAAAAGCCACCATAAAACTAATGATGGCTAGAAATCCTAAGTAGCCCAGGACAAGATAGAACATGACAGAAGATCCCACATTACATTCTGCTATGATTTCACTAGTGAGAGAATGCATATCCAAATTTGGGAAGGGAGGAGAGATTGCCATCCACCAAGAACAAATACTTGCTTGAACAAGGGTGCAGGAAATAACAATGGAACTGGCCAATTTTCTCCCCAACCATTTCCTCATGTTGGACCCTGGTTTGGTGGCCATGAAAGCTACAACTACGGTGATAGTTTTAGCTAATACACAGGAAACGGCCCCTGCAAAAACAATGCCAAAAGCAGTTTGGCAAAGAAAGCAAGTGGACTTGTTAGGCTGCCCAAAAAACAGTAAAGGTGAAAGAAAGCAAAGGAGAAGGGATAGAAGGAGTGTAAATGTCAATTCCCGGTTATTGGCTTTGACGATTGGAGTGTCTTGGTGCTTAACAAAAGTTTTAAGGACAAAGGCTGTAGTTATAAATAGGCTATTCCCAACCAAGGCTAAACTCATCCCTAATGGCTCTTTATGAGACAGAAAATTTAAAGTCTTGAGAACACATTGATCTTGCTTCTTGCTTGGATATTGATCTTCTGGGCATGGGGAACAGTCAACCATATCTGGACATTGAAAAAAAGAAATTATAACATTGACCATGTGTGGTCCAAGAGACATTTCCATATTCTATTGAACCTAATCCCTCCCCGTTGAACATTGATGTGTTATCCTATGTCTTTATGTTGTATGCTGTTGGTATTTAACCAAACGCTTAGCAAGTATAGGATTAACTCTTATTTGGTGCCTTTAAAGTTTATAGAGTATATTCTTCCTCTGAAAAGAAGGTTTAAGGAGGTTTTTGTTGTTCTCTGAGTTTGGTTGTTTTCTTGAAGATGTTTCATTACCCAAGCTACGATGTTACCTATTGAAAAGAAGGTTTGTCCAAAGAACAAAGAAATGGCTATGGGGTGAGTGTATGCTTTGGTCCAGTTTGTTCCATTTAAATGAGTGTTGGTCAGGTCAGAAGAAATGTAAAAGGAAGCAGCATTCATTGGGAATGAGTTTCAATGAGAAGAATGTGGGATAAACATGAAAGGAAATATTGAATTAATCTGGACTGAATATGAAAGTGAGTGAGCTGTAGATAAGAAGTACATTGGTATGTTTTGATCATAGAGAAGGGTTCAAATCACAGAACAAATATAGGAAGGAACCATGAAGAAGGGGGAGATTGTTGGTATGAGATTCTCAAGGAGATAAAACAGTGAATGAAGTAGTGCATGGTGGATGCAAAGATGCTTTGTCAATAAAAATGCACAGAAAAATATCATGAATAGTATTGATATGAAATAAATTTATATCAGATTATTAGATTTCATAATAATATTAGATTATTATCTAATATTATTATTAGATAATAATCTAATAATATTATTAGATTATTATCTAATAATATTAGATTATTTAGATTTCTTTTCCAGTTCTGCCTTTAATTTTGTTTGCTTATGATTTATTCTTTTTTTGTATTTTCAATAAGTGTTCTTAACTTAAGAGAAAATAACATGGTGGAAATATATCTATGCAACTAATGTTATTATGGGAAGGATCTCCCAAGGTCTTGTTAATAATAAGGCTGCTGCTTTTCATGAAGCCACATATATATCAATGTGTGTATTTTTCTCTCCCTCCCTCCCTCCCTCCCTCCACCCCCCCTCTCTCTGTGTGTATAGATATATATTCACACACATATATAGTGCGTCCCAAATGTCTTTTTCAAAAGGCAACTGGCCTTTTTTTTCCTTGAAGATGTTTCACTTTTCATCCAAGTAGCTTCTTCAGAACCATTTGAAAATAAGCATGTTTGGGACAACCATGACTGACACTGTCCATAGACCTATACAAAGTATATTTCTTTTGTTGATTTCTCACTAATGACCCAACTGAAAATCATTATACTAGGAATCAGTTTCTTCTCGCAAATTTTCCTGGCTGACTAATACAAAAACATATTTCAGACATGTTCGCTTGCAGTGAATGCATGTTGTTAATATTTACACAATAACAGAGTTGGAAGGGACCTTGGAGTCCTTCAAGTACAACGTAGTCCTGCTTAGGCAGGAAATCCTACACCACTTCAAACAAATGATTATCCAATCTCTTCTTTAAAACTCCCAGTGTTGGAGCATTCACAACTTCTGGAGGCAAGTTGTTCCACTGGTTAATTGTTCTAAATGCCAGGAAGTTTCTCCTTAGTTCTAGGTTGCTTCTGTCCTTGATTAGTTTCCACCCATTGTTTCTTGTCCTGCCTTCAGGTGCTTTGGAGAATAGTTTGACTCCCTTTTCTTTGTGGCAGCCCATGAGATATTGGAACACTACTTTCATGTCACCCTACTCCTTTTTATTAAACTAGACAAACTCAATTCCTGTAACCGTTCTTCATATGTTTTAGCCTCCAGTCCCCTAATCATCTTTGTTTCTGTTCTGTTTATTGTACTACATTACCTATTTCATGTGAAATCTTCCCTTCAGGGCAGGGAACACAATCATAGCAGCAGAATTTCTCCCCTTCCTTCTTTTTCTTTTGGTATCCGGGCTGGCAAGGATCACTACACAGAGAAAAGGGCAGAACCTATCCATAAATGTGAAAATAATTTAGGATCGAAAAACTGGTTTTCAAAAATTGTAATATTACTTAATAAAAAAGCACCCACAAAGAGTCCAGTAGCATTCATTTTAACTTACAAATACCATTAAAAGCCATACATTTTCATTAGCCACAGCTAACTTCATCAGATGCATAGAATGGCTAAACTGATATAGGATTTAAAGTGGGGTGAGGCAGGGAAAGGGGAAGATAGATTGATTAGGCAGATGTAGGTTCCATATATGCCAGAGCAGTACTTTTTTCAATTAATCTTTATTATATGTTAAAGACCCATTGCATTTGCTGAGACATGCTTAATGATAGATGATATAAGAGTCTTCAACCATCTAGTTCAGGGATGTCAATTTCTCGGCCTGTGGATCACATCCGGCCCATGGGGTGCTTTAATCCAGCCCACAGGGCCAGCCTGGAAATATAAAATGACCATCCCATGGTGCCACTGGAAGCTAAAATGGGCTGTGTGTAGCCCGCCTGTGCCTCACTTTCACCCTCCATGGCCTCCTGCAGCATTCTGCCAGACAAAAATGGGCTGAAAATGGCATGAAAAATGGCCTGGAAAACAGTCTGAAAAAGGACCCAAAACAGTCTGAAAAAGGCCCCAAAACAGGCTGGAAAATGGGCTGGAAAATGGCCCAAAAAAGGGACAAAAAAGGACAAAAAACAACTGAGAAAATGGCTCAAAATGCCCCCAAAACAGGCAAAAAAAGACCTGAAAATGCCCTGAAAATTGGCCTGGAAATGGGCCAGAAAACAGCTGGCAGAGTGCTGCAGGAGGCCATGGAGGGTGAAAACGAGGTGGGGGGGTCATGTGTTGACCCCCGGCATGCTGTTTTGGCCAGTAGTGTGCTGCAAGAGACATCTGTCCCCACCACAACTGCCCCCCCCCAGCCAATGTAGGAGAATTGCAATGCTGATCTGGCCCCCGAACAAATCCAGTGTGACACCCCTGATCTAGCTAATCTTAGATAAACATGGTTCTCCTTCTATACTGTGATGTGGAAAACAAGTTCTTCTCTTCATTTCAAAATATAACTACCCATAGAGGGCTAGTTCCTAAGCCAGAAGAAATGTTTTATCCATCAAATGCTTTTGCAGATGATGGAATGGCCAATTAAAATTGAGGAACCGCACTTGGTTGAAATGCCTGTGCCAGCTCTTCTTATCTTGATAAAAGCTGAAGGTTTGCTCTTCTTTGGAATCTATTCTCCCAACTTTTATTTTAGTGAAAGAGTTATTTGGGAATATCACCATCTTCATTATATCCAGGCCAGTGGCAACCTCCAATCTATCATTAAAAGTCACACTTTCTCCAGCTGAGTTGTTAAAGAAAATGACTTGAAGGAACCGGTGAAGCTGTCAGGAAAAGGAAAACAAAAATCACATGTAACACATAGCTAAATGTAACACATAGCTAACATGTATCTAAAACATCACATGTAACAT